GAGATAGGGAGGAAGGAAGTCACTAGGATGTTGGAAGCAAATCAGCTGGGGGATTAGTTAGTCCATTTGCTGAGCAACAGCTGGCCGGCCCGGGGCCCGCTAAGCCTCTCACCTGAAAATTCTGGGTCCCAGCTCAGGTCCCGGGGAGCAGCTCTGCGCCTGGCTGTCTACATGATCCTTCTGACCTGAAGCCCAGTCCTGACTCACCCAGTAGCTCGTAGCTCTCCCAGGCAGAGCAACCTGTCACCCACTCGCTCTGGCTCCCAAAGCAGCTCAAGTTCAACTTCCCAGCACTGGCAGCTGGGAGCCGGTGGCCAGGCCTTCCAGTTACTAATTAACCCTGGACCTGAATCACGACCTGGCGGCACCCAGCGGTTCCCAGGTGGGGCCTGCCCTGGGGACCCTCTGAACCTGTAAAAGTGACTGTACACCTTAAGGTGACCTTGGGCAAGCGGCTCAGCAGCCTGTGCTTTGGTGACCGTGGCCTGCGCCCTGCCTCATGGGGGTCGACAGCGCGACTCTCTGAAATCTCACCCTGCCTCCCCAGCCCAGCACACAGGCTGACTCTCATCGACAGCCTTCTCTGTCCATCAGCTGAAACCGGTTCCCGTTCTTTTGGGAGCTAGAGACCCAGCTGTCCCTCACAACCTGTTGCCCCACACACCTTTCCCTGGTGGGGACCCTCCCTGGTGGGGACCCTCCCTGGTGGGGACTCTTCCCTGGTGGGGACCCTCCCTGGTGGGGACTCTCCCTGGCAGGGACACCAGCCTGTATTGAGCTCTTTGTGGGTACTTCTGGGATGGGCAGCTCGTTCCCTCCTGAGCCTTGCCTGACACCTATGACAGTGCTGGGCACCCACCTAGGCAGAGAACCCCCCCAAACCAGGGGAGCCCCATGCCCGGCCCTGCCATTCTGAGACCCGAGACTCAGACCCCAGCTCACATGGGAGGAAACTTCCCCTGGTTGATTCGCAGCTGCCCAAGCCCTCATATTCTTACCAGGGCAGGGACAGGGCTGGCCAGCTGGACAGGTGAGAAAATCTCTGCCCAGTGACCCCCATTGTGAGGGGGAAACTCAGAACCTGCGGGTCCCCTGCTTCCTCCTTTGCCTTCTCATGAGAGTCTCAACACCCCCCACCTGCCCAGGCTGCTGTGCTGTGCTCTGCAGGCCCCGGCAGAGACACCCTCCCATCTCCACAGCGGCCACAGCAGCAAGGGGCTGGCTCCCGCCCAAAGAGGGGAGGTGGCCAGCGCCCAGAGCAAATCAGAGCAAAGCCTGGAGTGCTGCCCCTTTCCAGACCTGCCTGTTGCTGTTCCACCAGTGCTTCCTCACTGCACCCAAAGGTGGCTCAAACCCCACAGTGGTGTTGCAGAAGCACAGGAAGAACCCCATCCTATAGGAGAATGTGAAACGAAGAGTGAAACTTCTCCAAGCTGGTCTCACACCCTTTTCCAGAGGTTTCCACTGCTGTGAGCTGAGTGGTGTCCATCCAGTCTATGCTGCTCTCTGATCTGCAGCTCTCAAACAGTTTCTCCCAGGAAAAAAGGGTCCTACTACATGGATCGTTCAGCAACTCTTTGCCTCCCCAGACATCGTTCCATGGCAACAGAAAGAGTCAGTCGCAGCTTTTGAACATATGCATCAAGGTGCTTCATGTGGGTTTGATTTCACCCTCCTTGTTCCTATTCGCTGTTCCTGACAGTCCCTGAGGCTCTCGCCAGTTTCACAATCATTTTAACAAGCTGCAGAGAACAGCTTTGTGCTGGTAACCTGTGGCCTTGTCTAGTGTTTCTGTCTGATGAAGTCCTGCAAGTGGGAGTTGTGGGTTCACCTGTCTGCCCGGTGACTGGAGAAGCCTGTACCACCGACAACACAGCAGCACTTGAACTTGCCCTTCCCCTTGGGGGTGCTGGGGAAAACCACCTAGGCCGCCCTCTTGATGGGTGTCTCCTCATCTTTAAAGATTTATTTATGCACACAAGAACTAGGGTACAGGCCAAAGGTACAGGGGGTGAGAGGATTCACCAGAGACAGATGGGGAGCAGAACAGGCAGATTGACTGAAATATACAGTGGAGGGGAGCAACAGGTGAGACAGGAGAGGTCTGCTGCGTCATGTGGTTCACCTCCCTGGCTGGGGATCGAACTCATGCTGCAGTAGCTGTGGTGTGGAATGGGGATAGATTTCACCATCCAAACACACTTCTGCTGTTCCTGAACATTTGCCTCATTCAATGGCCTAAGATATTGAAAATACATGTGTGAGTACATATATGTAACTCTCTCCTAAACGCTCTGAGAGAGCTCACAGTATCACCTTAATGCAGCGGGGTGTGTACCCTTCTTGACTGTCTCTTTCCCGGAGTCTTTCCTTCGGTTCTCACCTGGACGGTTGCTCGTTTATCATCGGCTCTTCCGGTCCTATCACCCTGGAAATTCCCTTTGTCTTTCTCCTTGTTGGCTGTTCTGTTACCTGGACCCTATGTCCCTCTTCCTTTCATATTTTAGAAATTGTGTTTAAATACATATAACAAAAATTGCATTTAAGTGGGCCATTGTGTATGTTTTCAGTGATGTCGATAACCATTTCTAAAATTTTTTCATCACCCACAAGAGAAACGCTGGAGTCATTAGCAATAACTCCCCATTCTCCCTTTCTACCAGTCCCCAGTAACTGTTAAAATCACCTTGCAGGGCCCTCCCTGGTGACGCAGCACGGGTTAAAGCACAGCACTGAGAATCTAAAAGCCACTTCTGCATAAGTTCGATTCCCGCCTGCCCCGGAGGTGACCACATGGCATGGCAGACCTCTCCTGACCCACCCGCTGCTCCCCTCAGCAGTGTGCTTCGTCGATCTGCCTGTTCTGTTCCCCACTCGGTCTCTGGTGAAGCCTCTCGCCGCCCCTGAGCCTGTGGCCTGTACCCCAGTTCTGCGTGCACAAATAAATAAATCTTTAAAAAAAAATCACCTTGCAGTATATAAATTTATCTATTGTAGATAGTTCGTATAAGTGGAATCATATATTTGTTGTTCTGTGTCCGGCTTATTTTTCTTAACATGTTTTCAAGGTTCATCCATGTTAATTATTTCTTTTTTAGGGTCAAATAATATTCCATTGTGGGTACATCTAATTTTGCCTGCCTATCCATTTATCAACAGGCACAGGCTGTTTCCACCTTTTGGCTATTATGGGTAATGCTGAAATGTCACGCTAAGAGCATGTTTGGGTATATACTTAGGAGTGGAATTCTGGGTAATACGGTATTTCTATTTTGTTTTTTGAAGAGTGAGAATGTTCCTCAAAGAGACAAGCTTTTCCACAGACTACACCATATGTCCCACAGTGCCATGTAAGACCATGCCGCCTAGTAGCTCACTGTAGCTTTGATTTGCATTTCTCTAACAACTAATGATGCTGAAAATCGTCTATGTGGTTTTTGTTATTTGGATGAATGTCTAATCAAACTGTTTTTAAAAACTGGATAATTTGTTTAGTTTTAGGGATGTTTTAATATATTCTGGATATTAAGCTTTGCCAGATATACAGTTTACAAATGTTTTCTTCCATTCTATAGGTTGTCTTTTCACTTTCTTGAGAAATGTCCTGTGATGCACAGAAATTTTTCATTTTGGTGAAGTCCTACTTGATGACTTGTGACTGTGTAGGGATCAAAGCCACTAACCTCAGCATGGTTCAAGGGTTAATACTGGCCCTCAGCCAGTCCTCTATTTTTCTTACATGTTCTCATTTTTCATCTCTTCATGCTCATATTCTACTTTTGGGCAATAGCCTCAGCTTTATCTTTCAACTCTGTGCTATTTTGTCTGCATGCTTAAATTTCCAAGAGTCCTCTCTTGTCTCTCAATGTTTCTTTTTCTTTCCCACCACTCATGGGGGTTGGGGGATTGGCTGCCAAAAATCTGAAGACTCAACTCTTCCTCTGTGATGGGCAGGAAGAGAGGAGATTGGATGTGGGTGGGCAGAGCCCGGCAGGTGAGGTGGCCAGAAGGTGGGGGTGCTCCTTCTGATGACGTCCATGTTCTCTGTGACCCAGCGGTAAGGACATCCGCTGATACAATGGGGGAGGGAATGGGGCAGGGACATGAAAAGGAAGTCAAAACTAACTTACTAAAACACCCAGCTGCCTTTGGGGCAGCCCTGAAAGTCTACCCTGAGGCCAGAGACCATCAGACAATCTGCTCAGTCAGGTAAGCTCCTGGAGAGATGCTCTTGGACAGCTGCATGGCTGGCATTTTCTAGGCCAATGTCTGGATGCACAGCAGGACACAGGAACTAAGGACACTGAGGAGAAAGAGGTGCAGTGATGGGACACGGAGAGCATTTCACTTACCCACCTGCACACAGTCTCATGGAGCCTAATAAACTCTCACCACTCAGCCTCCAACTTCGATATATATTTTTAAAGATTTATTTATTTATACACACACGAACTGGGATACAGGGCAGAGGTATGGGGGTAAAGATTCACCAGAGTCAGAGTGGGGAGCAGAACAGGCAGATTGACTGAGATACCTTGCTGAGGGGAGCAGTGGGCGGGTCAGGAGAGGTCTGCTGTGCCATGTGGGTCACCTCCCTGGCTGGGAATTGAGCTCGTGCTGCTATGGCTTTGGATGGCTTCATAGTGCTGCACTTTAACCCACTGCACCACCACAGAGGGCCCCAACTTTGATATTCTTTTAAAAATTGGACACAGTGAATTTTCTCTCCTATAAAACGTCTATAAAACCATCTATAAAACGTCAAGGACTGGCCTTTTTTCTGGAGACTCCATGGTTTACACTTCTCAATGTAGACCAGTATCCCCACCTATTCTTACTCCTTGCTTCTTATCTTTCAAAATTGAATTAAAAAAATGGATTCTTCAGGCTCCTTACGAGCAAAGACACTAAATTTTTCTTTGGTGACAGCCTGATTGATAATCATCTTGTGCTGTGAACACAGAAACATACTCTGACTTCATATCATCCAGTTATTCAAGTTTATTTATGTTGTTTCAATACACTGACAAAATACACCACGTTGTGTTTATAACTTTTTCTCTCTCAAAAGGTGACTTTAGTCTAAACTGGAGGAGTCTCCTAACACACACACTTGCACGTACACGCACGCGCACACACACAGGCAAGTACAAAAATGTAACCCTACGAAAAGTGCATGTGAATCAAAGTGCAAACGGCTTCACTACTGAACTCGGATCAGTCTCTCTGCTTCAGAAACTCAACAAGGTCCTCACTGCCCTACGCCAGGGCTGGGCGAGGGCTGGGCGAGGCTGCCAGGGTCAAAGTGTAAGAGGTGCCTGCTGCTGGCACAGGGCAGCGGGCACCCCTGCCAACCCCTCCCTTCACGTACTCCCGGGTCAAGGTGCACCGAGCTCATCTGGGGACAGGACAGAGGCAAAAAGGGTGGCTGGAAGCAGTTGCTTTCCCTTCTTAATAATTTGGTTTTCTGAGTTTGACATGGGCGCAGAACGCGCTTAGGCCTCAAGTTCCTTTCTCCAAAGCCCTCGGTCCAACCTGCCTTCAAGCGTTAGGAGCATGGTCGCAGACCCACATGGCAGAGCCGCCGGCCCTTCCCTTTGGAGAAAGGAACTTGTAGAAGCCTCAAGTCCCCGTCCCGCTTAAGGCCTTGCTGCCTCCTCACACCGGCCGTGAGCTTCCCTCCCTGGTTTTGGACAGAAGCAGACGAGGCCATGGAGCTGATGAGTCTGGCCACTCGCCAAGCAAAGGAGACATAGGTCTTGACTTGTTCCTCCCTAGTCTTGCCTGGGGGCACCAGGACAACCTCTGTCAACCAGCCTGTGGCCAGAGGCACGGCCCATCCAGCTCCCCCCAGAAAGGCTGTCCTCAAAAGCCGTCTGGGCATAGGTGAGAGAGGGCTCCCTTCTGGGCTGTGGCAGGAAATCGGTAGCTTTGGGGCCCCGCTTCTAAGGGAAAAATAAAGCTTCCTATTTAAATAATAGCCCTTGACAACATCTCAAAATAGCCTTACATCTGCACTCTGTCAAATACTTGAGAGTCTCACACACACACACACACACACACACACATAATCACACAATCACATGACGAGAGGAGGGGTCTGGGGAGGGGTCCTCGTCCCGTACCCTGCAGACCCATTTCAGCACCTGGGGCCATAGAATTCCGACATTTGCTCCTCACCTCCCCTGGGACCGGCTCCCACGGGCGCTCTGCCCTTCGCCCCCAGGCTGGGAGGCAGGTTTGGCAGTGGTTCAGTTGAGGCTGGGCCCCAAACTGGAAAGAATGATGGAGCCCCAAGCCCTCGCAGTACCCAGATGGCAATGCAAGAGGGATGGAGAATGGCAAGAAGGGCTTAAGGGATGTGGAGAATTCAAAGAATTCACCTTCCGGGCGCCCGACTTTGAGTGGTCTTTGTGAGGCTCCTCAAGAGCAGGGCATTGAAGGGGCAGGCCAAATGCACTATCAGGGGGCTGTGCTGGGCAGGCTGCTGCCTGCCCAGGGCTGGAGGTCTGGCAGGCGCAGTAACCTCACCCTACAGGCAACACCGCAAGAGCCATGGCTGTGCAGAAGGATGCCAAGCCCAGGTACCCTCCTGGCCAGGCTGCCTCCTCTCACACCCGACATGGGCTCTCACCAGCTTTACAAACAGGACTTGGCACGGGAACTAAAAATGTCCTGGACGTGGGCACCAATAAAAGGCACCTTGGCCCAGAAGCCCCTACTTCTGAGCCAGAGGGGAAAAAGCAGTTTAAGACCCCAGGAGGCTGTGAAAACAGGTCTCCAGGGCTCACACACCCAAAGGGGAAGAGCCAGGGGTGTGGCTGGGGGAGCAGCCCAGGGAATCAGGCAGCAGAGTGAGGGCAGCAAACCAGCAGACAGAAGGGAGGAGCAGTCTTGGTGGGTAGCCATGTCGGTGGCAGGGGGCTGGTGGGGGTGGAGGAAAGGAGCAGAGGGAAGGAGCGTGGAGTGATGCTGAAGACAAAGGGCCTGTGTGGAGGACTCCCGTGATAACGCCAAAGTCGCGGAGACCAGAGCAGGGAGGGACCTGGCGCTTGGGGGTGGTGCTGCCACAGGCTGGGCACCTCCAACCTGCCCAGCTCCCCACCCGTCACACCCTCACCAGAAGCCCGGCTGGCAGATGAGCTCCAGGACGCGGAGGCTTGGACTCCGACCTCCCCAGGGCCCCTCTGCTCCCTCATGCCTCTAGAAGCGGCTCCGGAGAGCAGGGCCAGCCCCGCTGAGGCAGAGATGGGGCACAGGTGGGCTAGGAGGAACTCAGGTCGGGAGGGCAGTCTCAGCTGCAAAGGGCGGCCCCGCTCAGGCCGGGGGAGGCCCACCCGGAGCCCATCACTTTAAGGTGTCATCGGCGTTTTTGAACATGAGAATGGAGTTATAGATCTTCAAGGCGGGGCCCAGCTTGACGCTCATGATCTTCACAATGTCCGCCTGTGTCAGCAAAAGGAAGGCCTCGCCGTCAATCATCTGAGAGGTTGGGGGAGGGAGGTGGAAATCGGAGAGGTGGGGGGGAGGAGTGAAAGGGAAGAGGGGGTGTGCATGGGGAGTGGGGGGAAGAAAAGTGGAGTAAAGGATATAAGAGGAGAGGGGCGGAGGAGGGAGGGGAAGAAGGGAGAAGGAGAAGGGAGGGAGGAAGGAGAAAAGGAAGACAGCCATGACAGCCATGGGACGGAGAAGGAGAGCGAGGCCACCAGCTTCCCCATGTCACACACAGACGCCTCGTCTCTGCCTGCTGACTGGTCTGAATTTGGGGTGCGCTGACATGCTGTCTGAGTCCTCACTGACAGCTGTCTCAGAAAACCTGCTGTTGCTGTGCCTCTATGTGGCCACTCGTCAATCTTAGTGCTGCTTAAACAGGTAAGCAGACACCAGGGGCCTTCTGCGGTGAGGTGGCATGACATATGAGTTATTTGAGAGAGAAGTCAAAGAGAGAGAGAGAAAGGCTTGATCCGAATCTAACCCAGCCTTTGGATCCGACTGTCAGAGGAAGCACAGGAGAGCGTGGGACATGTCAAACGACACCACAAGGACGCAGTGAGACAAATCCAGAAGAGCACACTCTAGAGGACATTTTGCAGAGTCAAGAAAAAAGGGGAAAAAAAGAGAAGAGGGTACTATTCTAGGAGAGAAGATGTTTAAGGGATAGACCCACTCAAGCAGTTATGTGGACCAGGCTCAGAAACACCAACTGCAAATGACATTCCAGGCACGGCTGGGGAACCCGAGCAGATGAGTGTGTGCAGACAGATCCTGTGCACTTAGGCTTTGGGGTTCCCTCTTGGTGGCTCCACTGAGTCACAGAACCTGGTCCTGGGAGAGCTGGAGTCACATCTTGAAGTTCAGAAGGAAAGGAACCCAGAGCCAAATATGCAGCAATGCTAAGCCAAAAGCTAAGGGCAGTTCTGGGGTTCTGCAGGAGCTCATGACTGTTGGTCACAGAACCTGCTGGTGGGCCTTCCTGGGCCTCACCGGGGGGCATATCATTAGGTCTGGATTCTAAATTCTTCAAAGCAAAGGCTGGAGCTTGTGGGCCATCTGTATGGGCCTAGGCCGGGGACAGTGAGGGTGTTTCAGGACACACAAGATACGGTATGGATGCGGGTTTGAGCCATACGATCAGGAAAATGTCATGTTCTGACCTTGAAATTAGAGAAAATCAACTGGAGGATGGGTAAAATGAGCAAAAAGCAGCAACCCACTCTAAACAATAGCCATGTAGTAAGATAGGGCCGGGAACTTCCCACCTTAACCTGGATAGACCCATAGAGGGCCACCTGGAATATTTTAAGCAGCCAAGCTGAAATCTGAGCAGTTCTCTCACGACCTTGCTTCTATGCTGTCAAAACACAGACAGGCCTGGCCCACAGGAGCCCACGCTGGAAGCTGCCACTGTATCTAGGCATGCTGTCCAGAGCCTGCCAGGCCCTCTGAGCCCCCACACACGGGCCACAACTCCCTCGGGGCCTTACCAAACCCACCAGACGCAGAGTCTGAACTCAACCAGGAGCAGCAATTTGTAAGTCTGTCTCCCCAACGACAGGGAACCTCAAGAGCTGGGATTGCTCTTGTTTCTGTGGCCTCCTCAGTATGGTGGGCCAGGCACAGGGCAGGCAGAACAGTTATTTGCTGAGTAAAATAAATAAATAAGATCAGGAAAATGTTCTCATTTTGGAGCTAGAGGCAATCAAGAAGAAGATGGATAAAATGAGCCCAATGCCAACGGTCTGCCCAAAGCCGTGGCCACAGCGCGGGGGTGGGGCCGGGAAATGTGGCTCCAGCAAAGTGGACTAAGGAGGCCTAGACAGACTGCTCTGAACACGCCACTCTGACTTCCAGGGACAGTCTATGTCCCGGTGTACTCTATTAGCAGTTCAGCCAGAGAGAATCTGCTCCCTGAGCTTGGTCCACGCTGGGAGAAGGTGTGACGTGGATCAGACCCCGAGCATGTCTACTCAGCCCCGTGAAGGTCCTGCTCCACCCTGAGACAGTTTGCTGCTGGCGGTTGGCTAGCAACACCTTTCCCATTTTGGCGGTTGCTTTTCTGTATGGCAAACCATGCTGGGCTGAGATGGCAAAAGACATTCCTGGCAGGGGCCTTACTCCCAACAAGGGGAAAGTGGGGGTGGGGGGGGGCTGTGCAGCTGGCCGAACAATGGTACTCAAAGCCCAGATTTAGGATCTTTCCACTTACTCCAGCCTTTCACCTCAAGCGCATCCTCGGAGGGAAGGGACCCCACAGCTAACACCCCTGACTGTCCTGTAGCTGGCTCCCTGGTTTACACCTGTTACGGCCCTGATTTAGGTTGTCACTTAAAGGAGGATCTCAATGGGTGCCACCTGGTTCTGCTTGGTCTCATTCAACGTGTGGGTGAAGACCTGGTTGAAGACACAGAAGGCTTAGTTGTCTAATGTCCAAGTTGTATGAGGCTGGAAAGGTTTATTAATGTCAGGGATGACAGATCAGGATTTATAACAATGAGACTACGAGACCGACAAGATTACATTTAATGGGGATAAATGTGACGTTTTATATTTAAAAAAAAGCAAAACACTGGAACATTTGGTTAGACTCATAACTGAGAATTGATAGTGAATATAAAGGCACTTGAAGAATTCTGTGAACCCCAAACTGGTGTGATGTGGCTATAATAAAACTAGTGGACATTTAAGTTTCGTTAACAAAAATATAGGGCTCAAATCTGAGGTAAACAACCCAAATGTCTAGTAACCATGGAATATTCGAAAACACAACGCTACTCAGCAATAAAAAAGAACCAAACGTCTTACTCAGTACATGGATGAAGCTCACAATCACAACAATGCGTGAAAAAGACAAACACCGAGAGTACGTGCTGGTTGATTTCATTTATATGAAGATCAGAAACAGGTAAAAGTAACCTATGATGCTTGAAATTAGAACACAATGGTTGCCTATTGGTGGGGCTGGTGAAGGGGTCAAGAAAGAACTTTCTGGTATGATGGAAAGACTTTCTACCTTGACTGAAGTGCTGGATTCAGGGTACTTCACAAAGCTTATGGGATTGTACTTTTAAGATGAGTGCAATCTGCTCCATGAATGCCAAGACTCTCCCAGGGAGAGGAGTGGGCTTCTTCCCCAAGTGCCTCTGGACTGGAGGGGGCATTTGTGAGGAGCTGAGCTGAAACTGCTTTCCGGGAAAGGGAGTGAGTGCATTCTTTGGAAGGAAGTCAAAGGTCCCTTCCAGCTTTAAATGCTATGATGAGGAGTGTCATCGTCAAATTCTTTACTGAAGGACAGCTCCTCATTTAAAACCAGAAGTGCCACGGAGGCCCTGGGGCCGTGAGAAGCTTGTAGCCACAGTCCAGTCTCCCTACGTAAGTATACGGAGATCAGTGGTATAATCAGACCAGATGGACACTCTGGACCGGTGGTGACCCACCACTGTTTCCCCTCTTGCCGTCATGCCCATTCTATCTCCATCTTACAGCCAGAAGCTGCAGACGCAGACAGGAGAGCCCACAGCCAGACTGCCTGCAAAGCCGGCGTTCTTTTCTCTAGCACTCGCTGCTTCTGATCTCTGCGAGGCTTTCGGGTCTTGATTTTAAGAGTATGAAAGGGTCCCTGAAGTACAGAGCAGTACCTGTGCCACTCAAAGTAAACCTGAATTTACAATCACCGATGAAGCTAAGTTTGGAAAACAAAAGACTTGCAGAGAATGGAAGGGACAACTGCATCCTCTCTCCGGGCCTGGTTTCAGCAGGCGCGTCCGAGTGCAGCGGGTTCCCACACTGCACAGGGGCCACGCCAGACCAGAGCCGGGGGGCGGGGCCCGTGAGAGGCCCCAGCACCCCTGCAGCGGGCTGGTGAGCGCATCTGCTCCTGCCGGATGGCTTGGGGCCCCTCCTCTGTGGCCGCACGCTGCACTGCACCTTACCTCATCTTTGAAGAGCCGGGCTTGGTCCTCACAACCTGTCAGGGTCTGAACGAAGCCGAAGACCTTGGAAACCAGAGAAGCCATGTAGCCAAGGGGGTTTGGGGGAGGGGGTAGGTGGGAGTGTAGGGGCGAGGCGGGTCTACAGGACATGGAGCTTCTGGGCCTGGATGATGTTGCTTCTTCTTAGCAGCCTAAGGGGACCGTGTCTGAGCGGCGGGGTGTATGAGGTGAGGCTCCCGTGGCTCTGGGTTGAGGCCCTCTGTCCCGCTAAATTTCCAGTGCATCCCCTTCCCCCCGCCACCAGGTTGGGCCTATGGGTGTCCTGCCATCTGCCCCTGCTAGACAGACAGAGGCGCTGCGAGAGGAGCGCTGAGATAGAGGTAGTGGCCGGAACAGCTTCCGGCTCTGTCCGAGGAGGGCCTTCCCAGCCCTCCCACCGGGGTGTGGTGAGGGGCCTCTGGGAGGGGAGAGAGGAAGGGGCCCACGCTCTTCACCTCATCGATGGTCCACTTGGCGACCGTCGAGGCTGAGATGCCTGCCACGCCGGGCAGGAGCTTGCAGTGCTGCTCCCAGCACACTGAGAGCGAGCGGTCAGGGTGGGCAGACAGAGCCGACATGAAGAAAGACTGGCGCATGACGTCGCTGCCTAGCGCTGGAAAGCAGAGCAGAGGCTGGCGGCGGTGCCAAGCGCTGGCCTGGCCCCGAAGCACGCTCAGGCCTGTGCCACTCGGGGCTGGCCCACGGCATTGAGGGGGCTGTGGCCCTCTCGGCCAGGAGGGTGACCAGATCTGAGCCCTCGTCCAAAGTGGGACGCACAGGCAGACGACCCCACCCCCGTCTCTCTGAAGCAGCATCATGCCGGACCCTATAAGAATATTCTTGGAGCTGCATTGCATCTTGAAAACACCATCCTCTAGGTAGTCCACACTAGTGGCTTCTCACGTCCACACTGGCGCAGCCCAACAGCAGCGGTCTCTTCTTTCCCAAGCTCTTTTTGACGCTGACCAACTCTCGCAGAGCCAGGGCGAGTCTGTCCGAGTCAGCATCAGCCAGAAGCACAGCCCGCCGGCCACTGCCTCCCACTCCCTGCCTCTCCCCTGCCCCATCAGCCCGGGCTGGTTCACGACCTGTATGTGGCCTGTCCACACTGGCACGGACACCTGACCACTCGCCAACCGCTTTGCTTCCTGACACGCTCCCGGAGTCCCTGGCCTCTGGCCTGCATCTCAGTGTTGTTCCGCCCACGAGAGGCCTTCCTGGGCCAGGTGTGGCCCCACTGGCCAAGACTTCAACATCAGACAACCCTGACCGCCAAGCACCCCATTGACCTGGGCTGGCTCTGGGCAACATGGCTGCTGCCCCTGGGGCTCGCCCTGCCTCTGCCCCAGTCCAGAAGAGCTGGCTGTCCTGTTCACTTCTGCTCGCCCTACGCTCAGGAACGCAGCGGCCACTCCTCACGGCCCTCCCTGCTCAGACTGTTTCCTCGTAACTTCAGCCTTCAGCTCACACTCAGCCTCAGAGTCTCTGGGCTCTGACTACCAGCACCCCTGGCCTGTTCTGTAACTCGTTTCCCTCCTGCCCTCTGCGCACCAGCCCAGCCTGAGCGCCTGCCCGCACCCCAAAGAGCCCCACCTTCCGAGTCAGTAGGAGAGGCTCCCTCTGCGACTCAGCCGGGCTGCTGGGGTCAGCCGGGCTCTCCCCACCACCAGCGCTTCATCCGCCCGGCCAGACATCGGCCTCCGGTGCGCACGGCGACCTTCCAGACCCTCTTCTCCACGCACCTGGAGCCCACGGGAGCTTTGCTCCTCCTGTTCTCCCCAGCCCAGGGCGGCAGCTCTCACCAGCAGTCACCGTGCGTTACCTAACTGTAACCATCCAACAGGTGATCACACACTCTGGGCTTTGTTCTCAGCTTGGTTAGTTGGTGTTCTGGGGGCTTAAAAACATCAGGAATTCACTCCTCACAGTTCTGGCTGCTGGGAAGCCCAAGATCAAGGCACCAGCGGAGCAGAGTCTGGTGTGGGCTCTTCCTGGTTCTTACTCTGTCCTCACTGGTGGAAGGGGTAGGGTCCCTCGCTGGAGCGTCTTTTACAAGGACACTCATCCCACTCACGAGGCTCCGCCCGAGGACCCAACCCCAGGTCCCACCTCCAAGTACCATCACCTTGGGGATTAGGTTTCAACATACAAATCGGGGTGGGGGGGGCAACATTCAGGCCACGGCGCTGTCACCAGCAGACGGGAAACAGTTGCTGGCAAGCACGGGGTGCGGCAGGGGAAGCTGGGGACAAGCGCCGCATAGTGGGAAACACATGTGGACGCAGAAGTGGGAGGCGGGGTGGTTCTCGAACGTGCCCTTTAATCCTGGACAAGCCACGTAGCAGGGGCCTTGGTTTCTCCATCTGTAAATTAACTTTGGGCAAGGAAAGCTCTGTGGTTATCCCTGTTCTCTGAAACAGCTGGTGCGCATGGGGCCTGAGTGGCCCTGAGCAGGCGCTGTGCTGCGTCCTGGCCTCTCCAAGCAGCCTCCCCACGGAGCGGTTTCCCAGCAAACCTGGATCACATACTGAGGGGGCCCGATGGCTAAGAAGTCTCCTCCAGAACAGGGTGTCCTCAGAGTGAGAGCCAGCTGGTCGAGCAGGGAAGCCTGCTCTGGAGTCACAGAGCTGGTCCTGGAGACCGAGGCCCTGGGAATGCCCTTCCTCATTCTCACTGGGCTGCAGCCTCAGGCTCTGGAAAAAGCCTCAATTTTCCCAGTTCTTGGGATAATTCTGGAATGAGCAGGCCCACGCCCTCTGACTAGAACCCGACCCCGCAATGAAGCCTCGTGCGTATTCCACTTGGGGTGGTGTGGGTTGGGTAGAAGGGGGGACTGCTGGGGTCCCCTTCCCCCCAGAAGGCCTCACTCTGAGGGCCAGGAGGAAGACCAAGACCCCGCTCACTCCAGCCTGAGGCTACAGGAATTGCCTTGTTTCCACCAAGAGGAAACAGTACAGAACAGCCGTGAGAGCGGTCGGGCAAGAGAGGACTGAGACTTCCACAGGTGGCCTGACGAAGCGCTTCTCACGGGCCATCCCACGCAAGCCCCCACCACCACCTTTTGAGGGGGGGCAATGCCATGAAGAAGCTGAGGCTCAGACCACAGACTCAGGGGCCACAGAAGGTGGTCTGACTCCAGGGTCTTGCTCCTCTGGCTACATACTGCCCAGGGCTGGAGAAGACTGGCATTGTTTGCCCAGAAGGTATAACGCTCTAGCCTGAAACCACGGACACGCCACTCAGCCGAGGCCAGATCCCGTGTCCTGGGGGCCCGGCCAGCGCTTGAACAGGTGAGATGAATCTGTCACCCACTGGAGGGCTCGGCCCTTTGTCCACCGCTGGAATACGCTGTGGGCTGAATGGTGTCTCCTCTCCTCCCAAACTCATTGTCAAAGCCTTAACCCCTAGGACCGCAGAAATATGGCTGTACTTGGAGATAGTGCCTTTTAGAGAGGTGAGTAGTTAGAATGTTGGGTAGAAGCCCAACCTGCCTGGTGTCCTTACAAGAAAAGGACTTCCGGAGCCACAGCGCGACAGCAGGGTCACACACGTGCAGGGACGATGGCGTAAGGACCCAGCAAACTAAGCAGAGAGGCCGCAGAGAAAACTCCCTGGCCCAGCCCAGACCTGCGGCTTGGACTGCTAAGCTTCCAGCAGTATAAGAAAATAAAATTCTGTCGTAGAAGTCAGCCAGCCTGCGGCAGGTGATGGGGGCAGCCAGGCAAAGGCCCAGGAGCGCAGACGCGCGCGAGCGGTCGGGTGAGGTGCCGCACGCGCACTGGCAGCCCCAGGCGGGGGAGGCCGAGGCCGAGTCGGGGCCCAGCCCTGCTCACCCTGAGCCGCCACTCCTCACCTTTAAGAAGAGCGACATCCCCATGCCTGGGTGTGTGACAGTGCTGGTGACGCAGAGCGCCCGCGGCACTGCAGGCGACAGCAGGTGCGCAGTGAGCAGCAGCAGCAGAACTGCTGTTACGTGAACATGACGTGATTCATGTTCACGAATGAGGAGACTGGGGCTCGGAGATGTTAAGTGGCTTACTCAAGGTCACACAGCCAGAGCGTGGCGGCCACGGCCCCCTTCCAGGAAGCCAGCAACGGGAAGAGCAGCGCAGGGCATCACCCTGCCCCACAGTAGAGAGCCAGAGGCCCGAGAGGCTCTGTGCCTTCCCGGAGACTCACAGCAAGGCCACAGGGAAATGGGGCCGGACCCGAGGTCACGCAAGGCCCCACGCTGGGCTCTGGCCCTGGTTCTGCACCCCCAAGTCTCAAAGGGCGAGACGGCCTCCGTCCCACCTCCTGCGCCTCTGGGCCCCGGTACTCATTCGCAGTTACTGAGCCCATGGGGAGCACATGGGAGCAGACAGCGGGAACTTACTCGGGAAATCTTCCTGCGGGATCTTCCGATACTTTGGGGGGCGTCCAATCCTGCAGAGAGAGGGACCGAGTCGGTGGCAGGGAGCGAGTGCCTGGCCTGCCCAAGAGGACACCAGGCCCTGCCCCCTCACCCTCCGCACCGGCCATGATGGCGAGGCTTCTTCCTCAGGGAGAAGCCCGAGAGGTTCCTCTTACGGGCCGAGGCCTCTGTGTCGGACAGCTCCGCCTTCAGCCGGCTCTGGTTCCTCTCAGCCAGGGGGCAGCCCGAGAGGCAGTGGTGAGCTGTGAACTTGCCTGTGACGTGGCCGGAGCCATCACAACCCGGAGTGGGGCACTTTCTGGGGAAGAGGAGGTTGCTGTGGGCTCTGCGCTCATCCCGAGCCCTTCCCAGCCCGCCGCCCCTCTGGAGCTGGAGCTGGCTAGGTGAGCCCTGATGGGCCAGAGGGGGTGTCACGCAGAGCCCCAAGGGCCCCGGCCCCCACGGAGCCCGGCACTCACCGGTGGTGAAAGCTGTACTTGGAGGTGCGAGTGTGTGGCAGGCTCCGGCAGCTGAGAGGGGCGCAGCCCCCCAGGGAGGCGGAGCTGGGTTCCCTGGGGCCTGGCGGAGCGGGAAGGTGCATCAGCCCAGGCTCCTGGGCTGGGCTGGGGTGGTGGGCAGGGAGGGAGAGCTGGCACAGGGGAGGGCAGCACCAGGACTCGGCCAGTGTGAGGCCCCGGGCTGGCTGGGACACCACTCCCCTCTGCTGAATACCCACCCGTGGGGAACGGGGGCTTGGCTATCACGTGCTCGGTGGAAACCTGCAGGCCGTACCCTGGGCCCTGAGGGGAGAGTCGGGGGAGAAGATCGGGCAGAGCCGGTGTGGACCCCACGTTTCCTGAGGAGCCGCAACAGGCAGCTTCGTGAGATTCTGTTTGTTTCCCATTTTTACCCCAGAGACTCTGGCAGCATTTTTTGGGCTTTGTCCCTTCTTGGAGAACCACCAAGGCCCCACGTGCAACAGGAGTGGGGCAGCAGGTTAACAAGGGAGGGGAGCCCTGAGAAGACTGGGGCTGAGCAGTCCAACGCCCCACCTCTCAGCCCCACCTGCACAGAACAGGACTTCAGGGAGCCCCATTTCCTCAGCGAACACAGAGCAGCCCGTGTGGCTTTTCTGGAGGCCGAGGGAGCTCACCAGGTATGTCACTACCTCCTACACACATGCTCCCAGGGAGTTCTCAGCTCAGTCCCCCAAGCCCCACCACTAAAGAAACTGGAGTTGCTGAGGCCCCCGGGGAGAGGCAGGCCCCTGAATGGGGGGGGGGGGGCGCCCAGAGCTCACTGGGGACACTGGAGCCCTCTGTGTCAGTGCTGGGCGTGGCGCCCAGCCCCCGGGCAGGCTGTAGGAGGGATGTCCTCAGAGCTCAGGGGTGGGGCTGGATGCCAGGGAAAGGGTCAGAGGGCACCAGCAGTACGCACGGAGAGGAGGCTGCAGGGGATGCCCGGTCTTGGAGCACCAGCCCGCGGGGTGGATGTCTGGGTGGTCGGCGTCGATCCAGAAGTCATAGGCGTGACTCCAGCCGTCGAAGTGGAGCTGGGGAGCAGAGGCCCTTGACGGTCAGGCAGCCCTCAGACAGCCAGCTCAGCCGGGAGCTCCCCCTCCCGAGGCCTGCCAGAAGCAAGATCCTGGAAGCACCTCCCCATAATCCATCTCAATCGCCCCATTTTCCAAGGGATTCACTCATGAAGCTCCAGGCCTCTCCCATTAATCCTTAGGCAGGACAAGCTGGCGAGGCCCGTTTAACAGATGGCACGATTTGGGTTCAGAAATGCCCTGCCCCAGCCCACCAAGGGCAGTCACAGAGGAAGCGGCACTGCGGTCTGAGACCTCGGCCTCGCACTCCTCCCCGCCGGGCATGGCCTCCGCTATGGCTGCCGGTCGTGCCCTCGCCCACTGGCCCGTGACAGGATTTCTCCAGTCGGCGGGCCCCAGAGCCACCTTTAGCCGATGGTCCTCCACATCCTCCACGCTGGTCACACGAATCAGAGCAGGGTTCCTGCAGTCCACAGCCTCCAGCTTCATGTTGACCAGGAAGTTGTGTGGGGGTCGCTGCAGGGGAGCAAGGCCCTTCAGGCCAAGGCCCAGCTCAGCAGCCCTGAGCCCAGAGGGCAGCCCAAGAGCTGTGCCTGGGACACTGTGGGGGAGGCCAGGGTCCCGCCTGTCTGGGAGCGTCCTCCTGAGCTTTGCTCTGGGGGCAGGGAGAGCTGACTCACCACCTTGAAGGCCCAGGCAGGCACAGCAGTGGCCCCGGTTTCTTCCAGATATTTCTCCCAAGAGAAGCTATCCGGATCTGGATAGTCTGGAGGAAAGATGAGAACAAGGTCTAGACCCCCAGGTGGCCGGGGGAGCTCTCTGCCCCAGCGGGGTCAGGGGCACGGGATGGACAGAGGCCCCTGGAGGGTAGTCTCCCTGCCCCACAGCCAGCTATCTGCAGGGCCCTCCTGGGGCAGATGGGTGCCGGTCAGAAGCACGCATCTGACCACTGGTGGCAACGCTCCAGGGCCCTGGCTGCTAGGCCTGTTGTTCCAGCCCCAGCTCAGGCTGCATGTGCTGTACAGGGGTCAGCATAAACCTCCAAACAGGGAAGGCTACACTTTCTTTACCCTGGCCTCCTGTTCCATGGTGGAGGCGCTGAGGAGGTGGGATTCATCTGATTTTGTTCCTTAAATCTTAACAGAATCGCAGTTTGTCAAACTCTCCTAAAATCAAAGGCTCCTCAACTACCAGGCAAAGAGGCTGAGGCTCTAGGACACACCTGTCCTCTCTTCCCGACCCTAAAGACACAGCTCATGAGGTACCAGCTGGGTCAGTGGAGAGGGGACTGGGCCAGGTCAGGCCTGGGAAGGGGGCGTGTGCCCAGGCTGCATCACCTTGTGGAGGGGTGAGGGGCTTTCCTTGTTTCTGGCACCAGCCCACGGGGTGGATGTAGGGGCTGCTGGGGTCACACCTGCAACCCAAAAACACTTCACTGTCCCAAGTAAAACTCTGAGGCCCACCCTCTCCCTATATGTAGTGCGAATTAGATGGCTGATGAGGAAGTGACAGGTTACAGCAGAACAGTACACTCTCGTATCCCCATAACATGTAAGGGAAAGCTGCGAGGCACGGTCATTCACTCATCTTAACCCTGGTCATTTTAGATGAAACATTTAATGTTGCTTCGCTTCTTATGACACAGATCAAGTCCACAGGGCAGTTAATTATTCCCCTGAGCAAATACGAGTGGCAAGTGCGGGTTGGTCCCTGGGCTCGAAAGTGCTGCCTCTGCCGCCTGCCCGACCCTCACCCCCAGGCCCACTACCAGTAGTCGTAGGTATCGTCCCAGTTGTCAAAGTGCACCAGGAAGCGGCTGTCCACCACGTCGGTCACGCTGGCGACGCAGACAAGGGACGGGTTCATGCGATCAACCGCCTCCAGCTTCATGCCCACCTGGAAGCCCAGGGGTGGGGGACTCTGGGGGTGAGAAGGGGGGCTGCCACGGCCAGGCCCAGGCCGGCTGGTGTTGCCCAGAGCCCGCTGGCAGTGGAAGGAGGAAGCTCCCTAGGAGTCTGCAGGCAGGGGGCGGGTGGGGGGCTGAGGCTGGAAAAGAGGGTCTCCCTCCACTATACAATTACATCCCAGCCCCAGGCGTTCCCTGTGCGCTCAGAGGAAGCCTCACTCTGCCAGATAAGGGACTGGCAGGAGGCCACACATGCAGAGTGCCAGGCGGACCACTGCTTCTTCTATCCAGACAAGCCTGCCCCGGCCTGGCTGAGGTGGCAGGGTCAACAGGGTGGTAGGGAAGGAGGCGCTGACACGAGGGGCAAGGGGGCACCGGCCATGTCAGGGGTAAGCTCTGAAAGCCCTCACCCCCGATCATCACAGCCCCTGTGGGACAGTCTCTCCATCCCCATTTTGGAAAATGACACGCCCAGGACCACAGTGCCAGGAACAGAAGGGCGTCTGGCGGGGGAGCCTGCACCCTGTCCCAGCAGCCCCCGGGAGCCTGAAGGTCCGGTCTCTGCGGCAGGCTGGGGCTGGCGCCTGACTAGCCCAGGGTATCGTTGGCCCACCGCAAGCCTGGACTTTTGATGTGCTGCTATTTTTCAAGCTTCTCAGACCTCTACTGCTGAGTGAAGCTGCCAGCTAAAAGACAAGGGGTGAGTAGCTGGCACTGAAGGGGAGAGCCTCAATGCTGGGCAAAAAGAAAAAGCAGCAATCAGAACAGAAGCTTCGAAGTCACAGCAAGAAGCGCAGAGCAAACACAGCAAGAAACAAGCGGCAGGGACCACTTAGCGCCCTGGCGAAGGGGTGCGGGCGAGGGGCTCAGAGCGGCTGTGGGAGATAGGGTCTCCGCACAAGGAACTGGGGGGATCTCCAGGTGCCCTGGCCCCGCCCTGCCCAGCTCTGCCCCTCCCTCTGGTGTGACAGCCCAGAGCAAGGCCTGACACTGACAGCCAGCTGTGGTGACTGTCCCGGGGGCGGGCGCCCACTCCCGTGGGGGCACTCACGTGGCTCTGGCTCACGAACAGGTGCTTGGGGGCGGCCTGAGCTCTGGTGCTGCGCAGGTACTGGCTCCAGCTGAACTCCTCCTCCTTGTAACCTAGCCCCTCGGGGGATGGACAAAGGGCCATGCAGACAGAGGCTGGGCTGGGCGAGGGCACCCCACACGGAGGCAGCGGAACCAGGCAGGCCTGAGGACCCCTGCCCAGGGACCCCGCGTTGAAGCGAGACATCACCTGGGGGCACATGCCAAGGACCAGGGCAAAGCACAAGCCCTGGGGCTAAATCCCAGGAGGAGGCTATGGCCAGAGGCCAGCAGTGGATCAGGGAGCAAAACTGGGGGGACCCCAGGGAAGAAGGGATGGGCCCGAGGGCTCATGGCTTTACCTGGCCAACCTAGCTAGGCCTTACCTTTCGGGGGCTGCAGTTTGTGCCCGGTCTTCTCGAACCAGCCAGCGGGGTGAATGTCAGGGGAGTTGGCATTGATCCAGAAGTCATGGCACTCGGAATACCCATCAAAGTGCAGACGAAGGCGGTAGCCACACACCTGGCCCCGTGAGGAGAACCATAGGGACTCGCTGCCCGCACAGCTCACCCCTCCCCGCCCCTCCTGGCCCAGCCTGGCAGTCCTGCGGACACAGAGCGAATGTGCCCCCCCCCCACAGGCTTTCCACGTCCTGAACTTTGCCCTGCGTGAGGACCGCCTATGTACCAAGGGGCTCAGGGCTCTAGGCACCTGGCAGGAAGACGCTGTGTCATCCTCGGGCCCTGGCCAGAAGCCAGAGGGCGCCATCCAGACGCAGGCTGACGGGGGCCCTGAACACCTGCCCTTCAGTTACTCTCTCCGAGTCCCCCACACACGCACACTGTCAGAGGTCTCCCACCCCCACTCCATTCCCGGGGCCTGGGCCCACATGGCCTCTTCTTTGGGACACCCGGCGCATTCACAATCCCTCTCCCAAGACTCCAGAGAGGCCCCTCTCCTGCCCCTTGTGCCTCCTGCTCATGTCTGCATCACCCCAGTCTTTACCTGATCGATTCCCAAGCCACCGTGAGCTCCTAGATGACCAGGACTTGCTTATTGGGCTCATGCCATCACCCCTGTCCCCACACCTCCTCCTCAGACTCCCCAGCACTGAAGTCCCATGACCACCCCCAACACCTGTGTGCTTTGTGACTTTCTATGTGTCCCACCCGAACCCCTACTGGGTCAGGAGCTTTCCCGAGCCAGCAGCGTTGCTCTCTCAGCAGAGTCCAGGCCCCACACCCCGTGGCGGCCAGCACTCTGCTTCCAGGGCAGTGGCACGAGCCCCGCTCACCTCGGCCACGGTGAGGATGAAGTACATGGACGGGTGTTGGGGGTCGATGCCTTCCAGCTTCATGCCCAGTCTGAAGCCATTCTTGTTATGAGTGACCGCCTGGTACTGTCAACGCACAGATTGGACAGGACGCAGCGTCCATCCAGCCTTATCCTTGCCTAGCGGGCTTGGGGTGAAGGAGCTACCTTTAGGCCCCATCTGCCTGGGTACTGCCAGAGGGGTAACTTGTTCGGGGCTCTTGACTGCAGGGATCCAGGCGAACAGAGTGGCTCCCAGCTCCCTTGCAAATTCTAAGCCACATCAGTGGGGGGACTTAAGGACTGGACTCTCACCCAGGTCATGTAAAGATGGTGAAGATGCCTAAGTGGAAGGCATCAGAATTCAAGAGTCTGCAAGGCCCATGTGGGGTGAACTGGGGGCCCCACCTGCTGGGTCCTTGTCTACTCCAGACTCCTAGCCAGCCTCTGCCTTCCATTCTGCCAGGAGGGTGTCAGACACAGAAGGCACCATGGCGAACCCCCGGGCTAGGCTTAGGGGCTCTTCCGAGGCGGGAATTGTATTGTCTGACTCACGTCCTGGAAGAGGCTGACGGGGGCAGTGATGGCCTTCTGCTCCTCCAGGTAAGACTCCCACGACCAGCCTTCCTTCTTCTCACCCGACGCTGAGGGAGGAGACAGAGAGGCTGACCCTGGGCTCCTTCTGATGTGCTCCTTTTCTCAGTCTCCCCTGACCCAATCTACTCAGACCCCACTGCAAGCCCTAGCCTGGGTCTGTGGCTGCCCTCAGTCCCCCCCACAAGCAGGATGCAGGGGCCCAGACCTCAGGGGAGACTCGTGCCAGGATCACATGGCACCTCCCCGAGGTTACAAGGTCCTGGCTATAGGGGAGTCATGTTCTCACACAAAGTTGAGTGTGAGGACTTAATCCTGAGGCCACCTCCGCTCTCAGGGAGAGGAGGAGAGAAACGAAAGGGAAAACAGGCAAAGGAGAAAAGCAGAGGACACCCAGAAATAAGAACCCTCTTTTTTTGATACTTCTTTCTCTGAACACTTAGAGGCACAGAGACCCAGAGAGACATCCGTGTCCCCAGTGTGGCTACAGATAGAAGCTGATTCCATGGCCTCCCAGGCTCACACATGCTTGCACACCAGCATGTGTTCACATGCACACACTACGGTCAGAGCCTGCATCCCTCGAGGCTCCGGGTCCTGGGGAAGGGACATGAATTCCCCTGCAGGACCTGCGCTTCAGCCTGAGGTGGGGTTGTGACCTCCAACTCAGAGTGAAAGGTCCTTTAAGGTCTAGTGTCGCTGGGGAAGAAAGGCAGGCCTGTCGGGTCACACTCAGTGCCTTTAGCCAAAGGCCACAGACAGCTAAAAAGGAAGCAACTTGCAAAAATCAATCCATATCCTTTGGGTACATAGCTCCAGCTGCTAGAAGCTTCTTCACCCTAATTTCATCATCTGTAAAATACAGGTAACTGCATCTGCCACAGCTGGTCCTAAGAAGGAGTCAGTGAGATGCTGTGAGTACGGGCTCTTGGGAAATACAAGGTGCTGGACTCATCCCGTGGCCCTTCCTGGGCCTCACTAGGTTTATCTGATTTGGAGTCTAGCCCGGGCTTGCACTGGCCCCCTTGCTATTGTTCTGGATCATTCAGGTGCAGAGTGATTTGTCACTGGTCTATATGGCGGCTACCTAACTTCCGCTCTCTCTCTGTTGAACCCTAAGATCCTCACCATCTGGCCAATGGGGACAAGTATTTTCTTCATCAGTTGACCAACTGAGCTGCAAACTCCCCAATGCAACCTGCACCAACACAACCTTTATCCTCTGTCCTGTGTGAAACCTGGGTTGCCCCTCAGACCCGGCCAGTGATCTCCCCGCAAGGAACCCTCGGTTCTCCCAATCAGTCTTCACTTAGCCTTACTGGGGAGGGAGGACAAAGAGAGGAGGTGCAGGCTGCGGATGCCAGGCTCTGCGCCCTTTATTTCTTCCACTGGAATTCCACATCATCCCGCATAAGTCTCTTTCCATGGCATGGCTACTTTTACCCTCCCTGCTGCCCATCTTCCTGGCTCACTCCTTAGATGCCACACAAGCTAAGGAGTTGACTCCTTGGCAGATTTCCCATCTCAGGCACCTCTGCCCTTCCTGGGCTCTTCAACTTCGAGTTCATCCCCCTTTAGACATACTCCGGCATGGCCAAGCTCTAAAACCCCATGCCATGGCCAAGAACTCTGACCTCTCCACCACCCTCTTCATCTGCCATCCCTCACCCTCCCACCCCCAGCCGCTGAGCCTTTCTTATCTTCCTTCTTTCCCTATTCACAATGCAGAAAGCACATCTGTAAACGTCTTCACAGCATTCCACTTAACCGTTCCTTTTACCATTTAGTGCTACCTCCAATGTGCTAGAAACTGGAGGTGACTCTGGGATGTCATTTTCTGCAGATTCTAAAGAGCTAACGGGTTACTAAGAACAGCTATCCACCCTTTCAACAACTTCCCTTCATAGCCAGCCAGTCATGTCTGCCTCTACACACTAGTGAAATTGCTCCTGAATTACCAGGGCCACAATCCAAGGCCTTTTCTCAATTCTCCTGGGCTCCAAGCACCTCCAATCACACGTTCCCTGTCACACTTCCTTCTCACTGTGCTCCTCCATTCTGTTCTTCTTTCCCGCACCCCAACCCTAGTTCCTCCAGGGAGGTATAGGGATGCCTTCCTCGATGATCCCTAGAAATCAATACAGTGCACACTTCCTTTCTTTCTGCTCACTTTCTTGGGAAGCTTCAAGAGAAGCGGCAGTCATTTCAATAGACATAATTCACAGATTAATGGTTCGGGCCAGGCCTTTTGCTACAGGGTCCAGAGGAGAGACAGCAATGTAAAGAGAAGAACGTAGCAGAACACTATGGTTCAAGGACAACTGATTATAAGAAGTCATTAATATGCCAGCCTGATGGTCTTTGTTTTAAACTTGTTATAGACTGGGGCTCCCTGGAGGCGCAGGGGTTAAAGTCTCAGTGCGATCAAGCTATCTATCACCAGCCCCCCCAACACTGAGATCAACTGATTCCGGCCCTGGGAGGTGACCCACAGGGCACAGCAGGGAGTCTCATCTGCTGCTCCCCTTAGCAGTATATCTCAGTCTACATACCTGTTCTGCTCCCCACTGTGTCTCTGGTGATTCCTCTCACCGAACCCCCACCCCACACCTCTGGCCTCCCACTTAATTCTTGTATAAAATAAATATTGCATAAAATAAATCTTTAAAAAATAATGAAAATAAATTTGTTATACCTTATATCTCCCTCTTATAGAACATGCTTGGGCATTTTAAACCAGTTCATTGGAAGAGAATTTAATCAAGAGTCTGGTACTTGTGTCTAACATACCTCATGGAGAGCAATGCCTGGGAAGACCCAGACTACAGAGGCAGGACTCCCTGCTGCTCTGCTGTTTACCCAATGAGTAAAGCTGCCTTTAAAACTGTCTCCAGCTTCTGGAAAATTTAAGTGGACCCTTTTAAAAAATAAATGAAAGCTGTGGGCTATCTCCCCAGAGAAATGAGCCATTCACAGAATTTTGCATGTAAACTTCAGCTATTGAGCTCAGATAAGAAAGCATTTCTGTAAGAGGCAATGTCTTTTTGTTTTTTTAAGATTTATTTATTTATGTATACAAGAACTTGGGTACAGGCCAGAGGTGCTGGGGGTGGGGGGTGATAGGATTCACCAGAGACAGAGTGGGGAGCAGAACAGGCAGATCTACTGAAATCCCCTGCTGACGGGAGCAGCGGGTACGTCAGGAGAGGTCTGCTGCGCCATGTGGGTCAGCTCCCTGGCCTGGGATAGAAAGTGTGCTGCAGTGGCTGCAGGTGGTGGTTGCTGCACTGGGGAGGCCCAAGAGGCAATGTCTTCCATTGAATCACACCGTCACATTCAACTTGCCCCCAGTTCCATACTGCACTCCTTGTAGTGAATATAAAATGTGTCTCATCAACCCATCAAAACACGGCAAGGGCCTGAGTAAATAATCTCCAAAGAAAATATATAAATGGCCAATAAACGCATAAAAAGATGCCCAATATTACTAGCCATCAGGATAATGTAAGTTATAACCATAGTGAACGACCACTTTATACCCAGTAGAGGGTTCTAACAAAAACACAGGCAATAATGAGCACTGGTGATGATCAGAGTAAACTGGAACTTTCCCACACCGCTGGTGGGAATATAAACTGGTATGGCCCCTTGGGGAAACAATCTAGAGGTTCCTTAACTAGCTAAATATACACTTAACATATGATCCAGCAATTCCACTCCTAGGTATATACCCCCCCAAAATGAAAACTTACATCCATATAAAAATAAATCCAACACTGTTCATAATATCCCCCAAGTGGAAGCAATCCATGTTTCCATCAACTGATAAAATGTGATATATCTATACAATGGAATATTATTCAGCATGAGTTCCATCCCCGACCTAGGAGTTGACCCACATGGCGCAGCAGACCTCTCCTGTCCTGCCGGCTGCTCCCCTCAGCAGTGTACTTCAGTGGATCTGCCTTTTCTGGCCCTCCATTATGTCTCTGGTGAATCCTCTCACTGTCCCTGCACCTCTGGCCTATACCCCAGTTCTATATGCAGAAATAAATACATCTGAAAAAAAATTTTAAATGAGAATATAAGCAACCCAGTTAAAAATGGGCAAAAACGGATGTCAAAAGTGGCTGCAAGGAAGTAGAACAGAATCCTTCAGGAATGATCTAAATCTGGAAAGCTTATTAAAAAGTTGATCCTGAAGCATGACATCATAGAGAATATTCTCTATCTGGATGTTGGCAGACAGAGAGAAAACATGAAAATATCACCACTATGAAAATGATCCGAACGGCTGTTAATGATGAAATAAATTGTAAGCACTATTGCTAGTTTAACAGGGTGGTCCTCAGGAAAAGGGGAGGTTTCAGGTTCCCCGCCTCACCCAAAAGGAGCTGAGCAGAGAGAGCCAGATGGAGACCGGAGGGGGCACATGGAGCAGAGACAGGTGCAGTAGCTTTGTCTTGTTTCTGGCCCTGGACTGGGTGGCACAGATGTGGGTGAGAGACCTGTGGGAGGTGACTATGGCAGCGCTTATCTTGATTTTGATGTTGCTCTTTTCCCCCAGACTTGTCTGGCCTTTTCTGACCCTTTTTTATGGGTCCCTGCTGGAAGGTGCTTTAGACTTGTATCTGGCTTTCAGGCCTTGCTTTGGGCTAATCCCTTTTGGGTGGACTTTTACCCACAAGGGGACGGGTCACTTTGGGGGTTTGATTTAGAAACTATATTCTTTATGTTTGCTGTATTGCACACTGATTGTATTAAAGTTCCTTTCCCTTAAAAGTCTTTTATGATTTGCCTTGATGCAGTGGATGGTAGAACCTATTTAGAGCAGGCAGGTTTGGGGGTTCATAGCTGTTGAAAAGGTGAAGAAGAGAGATGAGAGAGAAGGCCTGATTATAGACATGAATTACATAGTTCTAACTCAAGTTACTGGAACATGCCATCAGGAACTCATATGTCAGGCCTGTAGAACATGAGTACATTGGCCATCAAACTGCCAGAGTGTAGATAAAACACAGATTCTATGCACACAGAGGATACTCAAACAATATGTCATTCCAATCCCTACCCCCAGATTCTTCTGCCAAAAGACTCTAAAGATGAGTGGGAAAAAATTCAGTCATGTATACAAGCTTCTCTAATGGTAGTTTCTTCCCTTGAATAAGAAAAAAGGAGGGACCCTCCCTGGTAGCACAGTGGGTTAAAGCACAGCACTACAAAGTTAAAGCCACTTCAGCACGAGTTCAATTCCAGGCCAGGAAGGTGACCCACATGGTGTGGCAGACCTCTCCTGGCCCACCCACTACTTCCCTCAGCAGTGGACTTTGTCAATCGGCCTGTTCTGCTACCCACTCTGTCTCTGGTGAATTCTCTCACCACCCCTGCACCTCTGGCCTGGACCCCAGTTCTATATGCATAAATAAAAACATCTTAAAAAAGAAAAAGGGCAGCAGATAGAAAATAACTAGAAGCCAAAGTTACAATGATGTTCACAGTTGAGATGGTGAAAAGATGAATCAAAAGATAACTGCATACTGGTCAACAGGACCCAGCTAAAAAGGATATTGATTTAGGAATCTATTTCTCAAATTTAAGACAGAACAGTTGAGCCCACAGTAGTTAGATACCACCTCCTTCCCTACATGAGACATAAGAGGCCACAAGCCAGTGAGAGCTAAGCCTTTTGCTTCTGATATGACAGTCATGGGTGAGAGCAGTGAAAACTTGGCTTGGCTCAAATGGGCAAAAGCTAGAATAGGGACTACCAGGTTCTGAGCCCTGGACACTAGTTGGGGTTCTCTGGCTGGCACGCAATCCACCAAAACAGAATGATATACTATGAACTGACCTCACGTCTGGCTCTCTCTGAAGGAGGAAAGCCACTGTGACTCACGCAACTGAGCCCTGGTCTGGAGAAAACACCAACCCACAACTCAACTACTGACTGGGCAAAATTGATTGAGTCTACTCTACACCAGTCTCTGGGCTAAACACTGGGAAGACAATGATTAATAAAAGAGGTTCAGCTTTGATGGAAAAAGACAGACATTAAATAAGTGGTTACACAGGTTTTGCACGATTCTCAGTGTGATAAATGCTATTTAGTATCAGTTGGCTATTGTCACATGCAAATGGAGAGCTGACAGTGGAGAAAGCCTGACGGTCAGAGCTGACTATGAATGACCTCAGTTCCATTTTCTTGGAACAAAGGATCAGAATAGGGCCCCAAATGGAAAGGTCAGACTAATGACCATTACAAAAGCTCATAACACCAAAAGAAAGGAATATCAGGTAGGTAAAGCCAGCTCAAGTCCTAGAATGAGGAGCCTGGCAAAGGGTCAGAGGATAAACTCTCACTTAAAGGAAACACACTAACCAGAATCTGTCTCTCTTTCTCTTTCTAATACACACACACTCTCTCTCTAAGTTATGCTGTTCTGTATATTTACAACACATCACCACAACTCTAACCCACACTCCCAGCTTCACACCTCCAAAAGTACATACACACACCAATATATATACACAGGCCACCATACCAGGCTGACTGCTGCTCCAGTCCTCACTTTCTGGGGTGCTAGCGGTGGGTTGACCCTCTGGATCCTTTGCTTCTTCTTGCTTCTCCTGTGGAAGGTAAGCCTGATCCCAGCTTTCTGTCTTCAGGGGTTGGAGGGAAACCCCAGTGTATGATGCTGGCACCTGCTTGACTCTACATAGTGTTTTGTTCCAAACCACTGGAAATTCTCCTAGGTCACCAGCAGGAATACAGCTCCAGCAGCCAACCCCTACTCCTTAGTCTCTGGCTCACATGAGCCATAGCCTGCCAATAATGCTCCTCATTCCCAGCTAGGGTTCAGGCAAACACCTGCCTACGGGAAATCTCACACTTGATCTCTTTCAGCTTCAGTGCCACTAGAACCCTGTGCACTTGGCCTCTGGACCAGTGGCCAGACATATGACAGAGCTTTTCAACTGCTCACACATCTATCCTGGGTGCTTCTTCATGTGTTTCTTCACCCTGACTCTAGATTTAGTAGGGAGAGCCAGAAAGGCAGCAAAGTGACTTTGTTTTTCAAGTACCATGTACAGGACCTGGTTTAGGAGGGGACCCCAAAACTACGAGGAGTGAGTCATTATGAGTGTCTCCTCTGGCCCAGCCCCATGGCCTGGATTGAAGATGGAGATGATAAGTGAGGGCTCCGTAGTACCCCCCCACTGCCCTCTTCTTACCATGACCTCTGGCTCTGACTCCTCCTCTGATGGGCTCTGGTATTCCCTGCGCTTCCTCTTCTTCATGGGTTTGAGGAGCTCAGAAGCGCTGGCACAGGAGGAGCTCAGGCCTGAGGAGTTCTCCACTATGACTGACCTGAAGGAGGGGCAGCCTGAGGGAAAGAATCACCTGCCCAGCACCCAGCTCCTCTCCTAAGCCCTGAACAGTAATGGGGCTTTGGGGCCCAAGGGCGAAGCAAGCAGGACTGCAGCCTATCGGCCTTACCGCTCCTGAAACAGCTGAGGGCAGACATCGCTGGAGGAGCCGGGATCTGGACCAGCACCTTGCTGAGGCCCGCAAGCCTGGCAGTGACAGGTGCCACCATCCTCTGGAGGGTCCTGAGGGGGTTCTTCCGGAGGGACCAGTGGGAGGTCGGCTGTGGGGGCCAAAGGGGCCTCAGGCTCCGCCCACCACGGAGCCCACACCCCTGACCAGCCCTCCACCTCGGTCCCACCTCCTCGGGGCTCTTTTACTGGACAGGTGCCCCAGGCCTTCTACACCACAGGACCAACCCCTGGGCACACCTGTAAGCCACGCCCCCGCCCAGGGATTCAAGAGCGTAGGCCTCGCCCCACCCGCGCACGGGCCCGCTCAGAGCTTGGAACTCTTACCGGGCTTCTGGGTACCCGCGTCGCCACCTCCCGCCCGGGCCTCGCCATCTTCATATTCAGCCACACCTTCCCTCCGCAGTTCGGGGCTCGGGGGATGCTCCGCTCCCACCATGTTCGGCGGCGTGTACTCGCTTATCCGGAACTGGACGGCGGGGTGTGGGGTGGGTCTGAGGATGGCGACTCCAGTAGCCGCCCGTGACCCACCTGCAGTCAGCACGGTCCCCCTCCGGCCGCCTCATCCCAGGCCCCGCCCCCAGCAGCCCGCAAGGCCCCGCCCCTGGGTAGCCTAAATCCCGCCCACGCCACGCCCCCAGACGCCTTCGGCCTAGGCCCAGCGTCCCATCCAAGTCCCGCCCCCAGATCCATTCCCTCTTAGCCACGCCCCCAGCCAGCACCGCCCCTCCACGCGGCCGCCGCAAGCTTAGCTCCAAGCCACGCCCCTAGAGCCCTCACTCAAAGCTCGGCCCAGAATCCATCCTCTGGGCCTGCTTTCCCACCTTCCGCCTTAGGCCCCGCCTCCAGGCCTCAGGCCCCGCCTCCAGACCTCAGGCCCCGCCTCCAGACGCGCAGGCCCCGCCCCACGGCCGCTCCCCGGGCGCCGCCAATCCCCAGAGACACTGACCCGCAGGCCGCTCCCAGGAGGCGGGGCTGCGGCCTCGGTCCACTCCAGGAGTCGCACTGTGCCGCCGCTGGAGCTAGCCGCTGGCACGGCGCTTAACTGCGGCAGAACGGTGGCCGTGACAGGTATGCTGCCGGTCCCTCGCTCCGAGGCGCCCACTTGGATCGGCTCCCGCGGGAAGCAGGACACATCCAGGGCGCTGCTGGGCAGGCCAAGCGTGGCCGAGCTGGCTGCGAAGGGGTACACGGGCAGACACGACACAGGTGAGCCTGGTGTTCCTGTCCCAATCCCCATGTGCGTAGGCAGGTGAATAGTATCATTTCCTCCCCATGATCTGCTTGAGCAGGTGTGGAGGACTCTCCTCCTCCCCAGACCCCGAGCTTGGCCCACCTGGGAGGATGAAGGCAGTAGCAGGCTGGTGAGGGCCAGAACCTGGGCTGTCTCTGGCCACCAGGTGCACGCTGACCTCCCCTGTGGAGGGCCCCTTCAGTGTCCTCAGCATCTCCATTTCAGCATGGCCCTCCATCCTGGCAGGCCTACAAGCTGAACACAGCCCCCAGGACAATCAGGAAGGGAGAGGTGTTTCTCTGAGGAGGAGCTGGTCACCCTCGGGCTGGTACCCTGAAGAGAAAAGCCTCAGCCCTGAAGGGGGTAGGTGTCTTAGCAGACCAGCATCAAGTCTGGCTCCTGACTCCAGCCTGGTCATCCAGGAGAGGGTTCTGGCCAAGCCCTTGCACTGCCCCCAGTCTGTAAGTGGCCTTTGAGATGGTGTTTTGTGTACTGTGAGGTGCAGAATTAACTTAAGGGAGTATGTCTCCAGCCATACCAGCCTGCTGCCCTCATGACATAGTCAACGCCAAGGACAAACGTCCCTCTTTCTCAACCTTCACCTCCATCTCCATTGGAAACACTCCCTTGTCCCTCAAGACATGGGGGCCCGTCAAGAGAAGGGAATACCAGGTTCTCGGGAGGAGGAGAGTCCAGCCTCAAGTGCCAGCTTCTCCCTCACTCATTATAGGCCCATTTTCCTTGGATGTGATTGTTCCTGCTCATATTTTTTTCATGCCCCTGCCCTCTACTCCTTCCAACTCTGAACCCAGAGTAGCCACACAGACATCTGTTGAACAAGTACAGATATCTGTAGAGCGACAAGGAATGAGAACCTGGGTGGTACATGACTTTGCTTTATTAAAGCAAGAATGATCAAAGCATTTGATAGATTTGTTTGAACGTGTAATCTATGGGGGGAGGGGAGCCTTAGTAACATAACAAGTATCCTTAATAGCTATCATTTACTCAACTCAAATGTGGGCCATTGTCCTAAATGCCTTAACAGCAACGTCAAGTGAAATTTTCTGTGATGGTGGAAATGTCCTGTACCTACATTGTCCAACACGGTGCCACTGAGCACTTGAAATGTGGTCAGTATGACTGAGGAACTGAATGTTTTAAATGTTACTTAATTTTAATTGCATTTTGGTAGCCCAGGGGCTTCTATATTGGACAGCATTGTTAGAGAAATATGCAGGTCTGCCGGCCCAACCTCCAGAACACATCACAAAGGTGACCACTTCTCCATCTCCAGTCACCAGACGAGTCCCAACTGCCATCAGCTCTCCATGGACTGATAATTGCCTTCTACCCCATCGCCCACTTCCTTTCCTGCCTTGCACAGTAACTTCTCCAATAAGAGAAAACTCTGACATGTAAACCAAACCACATGGTTTCCCCATTTAAAATTCTTCAGTGGTTCGCAGCTGCCCTGTTGAGATCAGTGCTCAGTGCTTTAGTGAGTCCACCAACCCGTCTTCTCTCTGACTTCATCCTCCACCACTCTCCCTTGTTCTCTATCCTGACATGCCCTGGCTTCCTTCTGTTACTTGACAAATGTTCCTGCCTCTGAGCCTTTGCCCATGATGTCCCGGATGGGACACCTGATATGCTATTCCCCAAGTTCTATGCTTGAGCCCCAGCTCCATGGTCACCATCTCAGAAGAGGTCTTTCCTGATCACTCAATTTTTTTTAAAAATTATGCATACAAAACTGGCGTACAGGTGTGAGGTGCAGGGGATGAGAAGATTCACCAGAGACAGTGGGAACAGAACAGGCAGCTCAGCTAAAATGCGAGAGGGCCAGGAGAGATCTGCTGCGCCATGTGGGTCACCTCCATGGCTGGGAATCAAACTCTTGCTGCAGTGGCTGCAGACAGGTTGACAGTGCTGTGGTTTAACCTGTTGTGCCACCAGGGAAGCCCCCCAAACATTCAATTTAAAGCAGCATGTTCTTTTCTTCATCTACTACAATTTTTCTCCTTACTGTGTTTATTTCCTTTGCATGATAATTAATAATGAGGAGTCATCTCCACATCATGGTAAGTTCCGCCAGAACAAAGACTATCTGTTTTGTTCACTGCTATAGTGCCAGCACTTGGAAGAGTGTGTGGTTCTCAGGCAGTACTCACTAAGTATTTGTGCTGGATTTTGAGTTTGTTGACGGAGAACAACTGAGAGTTGGTTTCTGTAAGGGATCAGCAGTATTTGACAATGACTTCTGGCACATAGGTTAGAGGAAAGGACATGAGCTTAGGTGTAAAACAGACTTCAAACAGTTTGAACCTCAGCTTTGTCACTTAATACTTGGGACTGAGTGAGTAGCTTTCTCCCTTTGAGTCTGAGGAAACCTGAGTTTCCTCGTATGTATAGTGAAAGTGGTAATGGTATCTATCTCAAAGGACTATGGTGAAGATTAAATGGGAAAATACCCATACCAGCAGCTCCTCAACCAATACCAACCTCTCCCTTCTGGCAGAAGTTTCAGAGAGCTTGGTAATTTTTGGCAAGTTGCTTGCTTGTAAAATCAGCTGGCAATCGTTGCTATCTCTCCCACCCTCTACCTGGTGCATTTGTTTATTTTCCAGTTTTTTCTCCCTCAAATACAAAGTCCATCCTCTATATTATAGAGAGTAAAATCAGGTAGCAACAGTTTGATGTGTAACCTGATTAATTAAAGCTACATTCCAGCCAAATTTGGTTTCCTTTTATTAAAAAATTATAAAATAGAGTTCCCTGAATTTTAATTCCATTTATTTTGCTTTGCACAGCCAAGGTACTTGTACTATTTTAAGATCCTTCAGACACAGTCAATGTAGTTATTCAAAATATTGGCAGCCATTAAGAGTGACTGTTCACTCCTGGAAGAATTCCATTCTACGTCAAAACTAACACAGGTTTCAGGTCTATCAAGGATAGATGGCTGAAAAGACTGTCCTTTTCCAGCAACATTCAGGGGTCAACCAGGTATCACCACCATGGTGTAGGCTGGGGATGCACACTCAAATAAAACAAAATGTTCTCCTGAATCTGCTGCTATTCTAGAAACCCTACATGCTGGTGCCAGGAAAGTGATGATAAGGATGGTTCCTCACAGGAGTTTGAAAACCATTTTGCATGGATGACACTGAAAACCACAAAACTAAATGCAAAGAAAAAGATGGAGCCTCGAGCGCAACCAGATTTCTATGTTGGGATGATGTTGAAGATTTACAAAAGTGCCAGAAGGAGTTACAAGGAGTTGAGAGGGAATTCAGAGAAGAGCCCGGAATTCTGGAAGATCTTTTGGAGAAAGGTTTTCAAGAAGGTGGCACGGCTCAGTGGTGTTAAATGCCACTGGCAAGTCAAATCTGATCATTCTAGCAACAAGGAAATCATCCGATGCATGGACGAGAGCCATTTCAGGGTTGTGGACACAAAAACCAGGTGGGAGTGGGTTCTAGACAGAAATCATTGATTCACTCAGTGTTCACTGAGCACCTATTATGTGCCAGGCACTATTTCAGGCAGTGCAGATTGGGAGCCAACACAACAGACAGAAACCTCTCTCACCGCCCTACATGCTGGTGCCAGGAAAGTGATGATAAGGATGGCTCCTCACAGGAGAACATGAGGGGAGGATGGACACATTTCCTTTCAACAGCCCTTTCAAGGGGCGGTGATGTGAGCTGGAGCATCAGAGAATAATGTGGTCTCAAGAAGGAGCCATTTGGCTTTTAAAAATAGGAGCCATCACAGCATGTTTGTGGCTGATGAAAATGAGCCTATAGAGATATAAAGAAACTGATGGAGGGGGGAGGAAGCATAATTCTAGAAGACAAGTCCCTGAATGTGCAGAGAGGGACAGAATCCAGCATAGCTGTGCTGTCGGGACCCATCACAGGACAGCCGTCGCTGACTAGCACCTACTGCTATGTCTATTTTCTCCACAGCTAGCCCCGTCACTTTTCTGAGCCCTAGAACTGCCTTATCGGCTATTTGAATTCCCCCTTCTTCTGCCACTCCCACCCCCGGGGTTTGTAGCTCCCAAAACATTTTCACAAGCCTTGTGCCTAGTGGTCTACACAGTGGCAGGACCAGTGATGTGACTGTCAGGTGTGAGCCAGGTCGTAGGAATCTTACCCCGCAGCCTGGTCACATCTTCTGTGGCCTCTTTACACACTGTCTTTTTTGCTTTGTACCCTTCCCACATCCCATATGTCTGGAAAATTCTTAATCATCCTTCCAGCCCCAGCTGGAGCTGTACCTCTTCGCTGAAGCCATATCAGCCCTGCAAACAAAGTTCATCACTCTCGGTCCTGGGCTCCACAGTCTTAACTGCATCACTTGTTCTGTCTCCCCACAGTTCCAAGGACTCTGAGCCACAGTCCTTTGGTGTGCAAAGGACCTGAGCCAGAATGCACTCAACAGCCACGGAGTGAGTGGCTCAGAGAGTGGGGGTAAGGAGTGGCCAGATATAAGTGCAAGAGGAAACAAATAGTACTGAAAGTCGCAATGGCTTAGCCATTCTTGCCTCCAGGGCTAGACTATTTCCCGCTGAGCTGCCCAGAGGCTGGGCAAGGACTGGCTGAAGTAGGAGGTTCCAGTTACTGTCTGGAGCCATCAGCTTCTCTCAGAACTGCCCTCAGCCAGGGACCTGCCTCACCTAGTGCCTGCTGTATCCTGGAGGCAGCTGCCTTCCCGGTTAGTTGATTGGTGGTCTTGACTAGTTAAAACGGCTCACCCCAGCAACCCTCCATATGGGGTGTCTCTGCTGGCCCTCCAAGCCGCAGCCCGTCCCTCAGGGCAGGCTGAGGTGGCTCTAGAGACCACTCTCCCAGTTCAGATTCTCCCCCTGCCTGACCATCTCCAGTCTTCACAGCCCCACAAGTGACATTCCCACGGGCTACTCCATAGCTACACTTGACCCTCAGTCCAGGGTCGGTTTCCTAGATGCCCGGTACAGCGCGCTGTCTGGCCCATAGTACATGCCCATAAATATTTACTGAATGAGTGTGGCCCCTTTTTATTTTCTCCTGGGTCTGTCGGCCAACGCACCCCCTTGCCCCCCACCTCTCCAGGTCTGGTATACAGCAAGCGTTCCATAAATGCCCTCATTCCAGTACTGGAGGGTGGGCATTTAGCGCCCCAGACAGATGTCCCCGTCACCCCAACACACTCTCAGAGAACCCGCGAGACCGAGCGTCACCAACTTGGGGCCTGGGCCCCGC